CAGTATTTAACAGCGTCCGTCTCCAACACAATACCGGCTACTCAACTGATTCCATTTCCAACACAACACCCAGTGCTCAACAGCATCCCGTTGCAAGAGAGAACCATTAGGAGATCCCGATCCGCCCGCCCACCGCCCGCCGCCCGCTCGCCGCCCGCCCGCCGCCCGCCCCCCGCCGCCCGCCCGTCGTGTGTGCTTGTTTTTTCCACACACAGCACTCAACAGCTTCCGTCTCCAACACAACACCCATTACTCAACAGTCTCTGTCTCCAACACAACACACCCAGTGCTCAACAGCAACCCGCTGCAAGAGAGAACCTAACTTAGGAGTTCTGCTCAAATCCCGATCCGCCCGCCCACCGCCCGCCGCCCGCCCGCCGGCCGCCGGCATCCCGCCGCACGCTTGTTTTAGTAGTTACCCTACAGTGAAGACTTACTTATAGGTTTTTAATAGGGTCAAAAGAGAGCATCATGACTCCCCAGGGGGGTTTGGGCGGCATCCGGACAGGGATCCGCGGAAGTCGTTTTAAGCAAACAGTTACACATTTCGTGGTCTTCGAGGTCCCAGAACTCCATTCTTGGGACACATTCTGAATGCCCGGAGCCAACTGTAGGCCACTTCGTGCTCTTCGAGTTCCCAGAACTCCATTCTTGGGCATGATTTTGAATGCCCGGATCCAACTGTAGGCCACTTCGTGCTCTTCGAGTTCCCAGAACTCCACTCTTGGGCATGATTTTGAATGCCCAGAGCCAACTGTAGGCCATTTCGTGGTCTTCGAGTTCCCGAAACTCCATTCCTGGGCATGATTTTGAATGCCCGGAGCCAACTGTTCGCCATTTCGTGTCCTTCGAGTTCCCAGAAATCCACTCCCGGGCCACATTTTGAATGCTGAGGCAGGCTGATGTTGAGGCTGAGGCAGGCTAAGGCTGAGGCAGGCTGAGGAAGGCTGAGGCTGAAGGCAGGCTGAGGCTGAGGCTGAGGCACTGAGGCTGAGGCTGAGGCTGAGGCTGAGGCTGAGGCAGGCTGAGGCTGAGGCTGAGGCTGAGGCTGAGGCTGAGGCTGAGGCTGAGAGGCTGAGGCTGAGGCTGAAGGAGGCTGAGGCTGAGGCTGAGGCTGAGGCTGAGGCTGAGGCTGAGGCTGAGGCTGAGGCTGAGGCTGAGGCTGAGGCTGAGGCTGAGGCTGAGGCTGAGGCAGGCTGAGGCTGAGGCTGAGGCTGAGGCTGAGGCTGAGGCAGGCTGAGGCTGAGGCTGAGGCAGGCTGAGGAGGCAGGCTGAGGCTGAGGCTGATGCAGGCTGAGGCTGAGGCAGGCTGAGGCTGAGGCCGAGGCTGAAGGCAGACTGAGGCTGAGGCTGAAGCAGGCTGAGGCTGAGGCTGAGGCTGAGGCTGAGGCAGGCTGATGCTGAGGCAGGCTGAGGCTGAGGCTGAGGCTGATGCAGGCTGAGGCTGAGGCAGGCTGAGGCTGAGGCCGAGGCTGAAGGCAGACTGAGGCTGAGGCTGAAGCAGGCTGAGGCTGAGAGAGGCAGGCTGAGGCTGAGGCTGAGGCAGGCTGATGCTGAGGCAGGCTGAGGCTGAGGCTGAGGCTGATGCAGGCTGAGGCTGAGGCAGGCTGAGGCTGAGGCCGAGGCTGAAGGCAGACTGAGGCTGAGGCTGAAGCAGGCTGAGGCTGAGGCTGAGGCAGGCTGAGGCTGAGGCTGAGGCAGGCTGAGGCTGAGGCAGGCTGAGGCTGAGGCCGAGGCTGAGGCAGACTGAGGCTGAGGCTGAAGCAGGCTGAGGCTGAGGCTGAGGCAGGCTGAGGCTGAGGCTGAGGCTGAGGCTGATGCTGAGGCAGGCTGAGGCTGAGGCTGAGGCTGATGCAGGCTGAGGCTGAGGCAGGCTGAGGCTGAGGCCGAGGCTGAAGGCAGACTGAGGCTGAGGCTGAAGCAGGCTGAGGCTGAGGCTGAGGCAGGCTGATGGCTGAGGCAGGCTGAGGCTGAGGCTGATGCAGGCTGAGGCTGAGGCAGGCTGAGGCTGAGGCCGAGGCTGAAGGCAGACTGAGCTGAGGCTGAAGCAGGCTGAGGCTGAGGCTGAGGCAGGCTGAGGCTGAGGCAGGCTGAGGCTGAGGCTGAGGCAGGCTGAGGCTGAGGCTGTGACTGCGACTGCCGTTGCCACTGCGACTGTCATCGCGAATGCGACTACGACTGCGAGAACAGCAGAATTCTACAGCTGGATTATCATCTGAATCTTAAGGGGAATGCTTCCAGATATGCTCCTACACATCGCTGTTAGGTTGCTTTGCCGGGATATTTGTTTTGTTGGTGGGTTCGGGGGCTCCATCATTGAAAACCATCTGATATCTGAACATGTCATTAATAAACCACATGAAACCACTGGCCACAAACCAAACGAGGGTTATTGTTCATGGTTGTGTCTGGCCAACCCGGGCTCCAGGGGGGGGGGAAATGTCAGAAAGTATATGAAAACAAACATATTTCTATATATATATATATATATAAGAGGATGTTTGTTGTCTGTGCTTTTTTCGGGGGGTGGGGGCCCTACATAATCTCTGAAAATCTACCAACATTACACCGGAAAACAAGCGAAACACCTTTAGCCCCAGTTTGATCGGAGAGGTTTTCGTGGGTTTTCTGGCCAGCCCAGGCTCCAGGGCGAAAACCTCAGACAGAAACCCCCAATGTTGTTTTTGTTCTTCAGTTGTTATTCGAGGGATTCCGGGTTTTTCATTAAAAACGAAACTATGTTTGAAAACCTTTTGCAAAACCTCGCATGGCATTCGGCGCATCCGCCACCGTGCGTGGGCTGTGGGTGAGAGCACTCGGGTGGCTAATAGGTTTTCGTGAGAGGCTTCTCGGGATTATCTTGGAGGCAGTTTTTGGACCTCTTGGGTGCGTCCTGGGGGCCTCTTTGGAGCGTCTTGGGGGCATGTTTGGGCTTTTGGGGGACTTCCTGGGGACTTCTCAGGGCCGAAGGCTGGGAATGTCCGTTCAAGTTTTCCCTCTGGGCCCTTGGGGCCGTCCCGCCCGCCGCCCGCCCCCCCCCCCGCCCGCCCGCCGTGCTTCCGCGTTCAACACAACGCCCAGTGCTCAACAACGTCCGCCTCCAACACAACACCGGGTACCCAACAGCCTCCGTATCCAACACAACATTCAGTATTCAATAGCATCCCGCTGCAAGAGAGAATCCTTGGGAGTTCTACTACAATCCCGATCCGCCCGCCCGCCGCCCGCCCGCCGCCCGCCCCCCGCCGCCAGCCCGCCGTGCTTGCGTGTGCTTTTTTTTCACAAACCCAGCACTCAACAGCATGCGTCTCCAACACAACACCCACTACTCAAAAGGTCCCGTCTCCAACACAACACCCAGTAATCAACAGCATCCCGCTTCAAGAGAGAATCCTTAGGAGTTCTGTTCAAATCCCGACCCGCCCGCAGCCCGCCCGCCCGCCCCCCGCCGCCCGTTCGCAGTTCTTCCGCCTTCAAACCAACACCCAGTACTCAACAGCGTCCGTCTCAAACACGTTACCACGTGCGCAGCAGCCTGCTTCCAACACAACACCCAGTTCTCAACAGCATCCCGCAGCAAGAGAGAATCCATTGGAATTCTGTTTTGAATCCCAATCCGCCCGCCCGCCGCCGGCACCCCGCCGCCTGTCCGCCCCAGAACCCTTGAAAAAAAAACATGTTGGGACCCCCCCCCGATGAATCCGGGAGCCTGGGCTGGCCAGACAACCTCCGAAAACAAAAAGAAAAACAAAAAATGAGTTTTTTCCTGGTGCTCCCCCCCCCACGGAGAATCCTGGACCTTGGATTGGCCAGAGAATCTCCGAAAAAACAGATACAGAGTTGGGAGGTTTTTTCTAAGGTGTTCCAGGGGGGAGTTCAGAGATAGTCTGACCCCCCCCCCCAAAAAAAAACTATTGGGTTTTTTGCTCGGGGACCCCCCCTGGAGAATCCAGGAGCCTGAGCTGGCCGGAGAACCCGCAAAAAATCACCAAACAAAAACCCGAGTTGGGGGGGTCGGTGGTTTACCTCCCGGAGAATTCTGGAGCCTGGGCTGGCCAGAGAACGTCCGAAACACAACGCCAAGTATTCAACAGCATCCCGCTGCAAGAGAGAATCCTCAGGAGTTATATTAAAATCCCGATCCGCCCGCCCGCCCCCCGCCCCCCGCCGCCCGCCCTCCTTGCTTGCGCGCTTTTCGTCGGGCCCCTGAAACCCCGCAAAAGCCCCCCAAGCTCCTCCCCCCCCACCCGGAGTCCCGGGGTAAAAACTTGTTCGGAAAAGCACCCAACTCTGATTTTTGTTCGGGTGGGTCCCCGGGGGGGGCCAGGGAACTCCGGCCTCTCATTGGGACCATCTTGGGCAGGAAAGCCGATCGAGTCTACCCCGTCAAGGTTATTCCGGGTGGCTGGCGGGATCGGCCGAGACCCCACAGGAAATTTGTTGGAATGGTTAACATGAGCTCCCAAGTCTGGCACGACGTGCACCGTTGTAACAAGCAAGAGGGGATGTCAGAGATAGTGCCACTCGGCCCAATCCCGCCACCGTACCTGGGTCCTGGGCAAGAAACCTTTGGGAAGTCTCTTTGGGGCCTCGAGGATGCTTATTGGGACTTCCTGGTGGCCTGTTTGGAGCCTCTGAGAGCGGCTTGGGCGCCTCTTCTGGGCCTGGAGGCGGTCTCGGGGACATCTTGGGGTGGTCGGCCTCAAAGGCCTTTTCGAGTTTCCACTTAGGGTTCATAGGCCGTCTTGGCCGTTCTGAAGACCGAAGCCAGTGCGCAAGATCAAACATGGGGGTCATTAAAGGCATGCTGCAAGTTTGGATTGCGAACCTCGCGCCTTCGAAAAATCATGCGACAAGCCCCGAGAGCGCCTGAAAGCGGCAAGAAGTTCCCCGATTCCGGGGGTGTGGAGGTTTTAAGAGCATCCATAATCATCAGCATAGATCAGTCGTGGCGGGCATGTCGCTTGACCGCGGCGGCCGCTTTCGCTGCTAACACAACAAAGCCGAGTTGCCCAAGTTTGCCCAAGGTTTGCGCAGAGGGAGGAGGTCACGTCTTCCTCAAGATTTGTAGAGCTCGATAAGCGTCCGCCGTCGCCGTTCCGCCGCTCCGATCGCTGTCACCGGCGGTGCCCTCGTTGCCGTCGTTGCTGTCGCATCGGGGCAATTGTGCCAGAGGCACTGCAGGCCTGTTCCCGCGCAGTGCCCGCACTTGGACCATAGCCATTTGGTTGACGGGCTTCAGGTTGGCCTCAGATCCCGACATCCGGCGGACGCCAGCCGCCGTCGCCGGCTGGCGCGCGAACGCGCGCCCATGGCGGATAGCGGCGAGCGACGCCTCGGAGACGGCGGCAGCACGCGAGTGTACCCGGGGACCGTTGCGGCGCAGGTGGACAACGACGAGCCCGTGATTTGGGGGCGGGGCGCACAGAGTGCGCGGAGGGGCCGACCGCCCAGCCTGCCGCCGTTGCCCTTGCCGCGGCCTTTGGAGAGCGACCCAGGCACGCCAGTGTTCGGAACTCCATCGAAGGATTTGCCAGCGGCGCCCATGGAGTCCCCTAGGGACATCGAGGGCAAGATAGGAGCCAACAAGATATCGAGCGGCGAAAGGAGAGTCCTTGGCAGTCCGCCACGATCACCCAGGCCAGGCGCTGACTGGGAGGACCTGCGCCTCGCAGTGCGGGAGGAGATGCAGGTGCTGCTGCAGGTAAACCGGGAGCTGATCGCCCAACAGCACAGGGAGCAGCTGCGGGACTTCGAACAGAGGTTGCGCGGGTGCCAGACCTTCGCGCCGAAAGCCACGGACGCCGCCTTCGCGCAGCTGAGCCCCGTGTCGGCGATGACGAACGCGCAAACGCTGGCAGCCGGCGACGACGACAACGGGCGAGACAGACAAGCTGGCCTGGGCTCTCGTCGACCGGCAGAGGGCAAGCAAGAGGTTGGGATGGAGGTGTTTTCCGACTGGCTGGACTACAACGAAAAGGAGGCTGAGTTTCTCGCTGGGGTGGGTCCTCTCGCGCTCAAGATCGAGAAGACGTACGAAGCATTCGAGGACAAGTACGCGACCCTGCCTGAGAAGAGAGGATTGTTCGCTAGGGTTGTTCATAGTAAATCCTTCGAGGTCATGAGTGGCTGTGTAATCTTGCTGAACACCATATACATCAGTACTGGAACCAATGCCACCATGGAGAAAGCGATCAAAGGAGAAAGTGACACGCGGATCGACTTTGGCGAGGCGGCATTCCTCGCATGGTTCACAATCGAGTTGATCTTGAAGTTAGCGGCGCAAGGGATGTATTTTTTCACCGCTAAACCAGATGTGCTGTGGAATTATTTCGACACACTCCTATGGGCCCTGTCCGCGTTTCTCCTGGCGTTTAGCGCCTCCGGATTCAACGTGTCCTTCTTGCGAGTGTTGCGTTGTCTCAAGCTTGTAAGGATCATCCGCACGCTTCATTTTCTTGAGTTCACGAAAGAGTTGAGAACAATGATGGAGTCAACGGTCCAGTCTGCGCCGACTCTCCTTTGGTGTTTACTGATAATTTTCTTCTTCGTGCTGCTCTTCGCAATTTTCTTTGTGCAGGCATCGAGCACTACACTGCTCAGCGAGGACGGCGACCTGACTGATGCCCAGCGTGGTGATCTCATCGCAAATTTTGGAAGCGTGCAAACTGCAGTACTGTCTCTGCTGATGGTGACCACTGGAGGGTTCGACTGGCAGGTTATGTATCAAACGTTAGTCCCCGCTGGAGACCACGCTGCCGCAGCCCTCTTATTCTTCGTCTTATTTTTTGAGATCGCAGTCTGGAACGTGGTTACTTCGATTTTTGTTGACAAAGCATTACAGCTTGCAAAGCCTGACGCGGAGAAGGCCTTGCTTCAGAAGCGGAAGATGGAATTAAGAGACCGCCACAGTATCAGGAGGATGATGGAGAAGTGCGATGTCGATGGGTCTGGTAGAATGAGCCGGGAAGAGTTCATACGTTTGATGTCCCATTCGGATTTCCAGAGTTTCTTGGAGGACAGGGGCATCGAGATCAAGGAGGCGGTCACTTTCTTCAGCATGGTTGCTGCCGCCATCGGCACCGACGAGGTGGATCTGGACGTGCTGGCTTCGTCCTGCCTGCGCATCAGGGGCTTCGCCACTGGCATCGATCTCAACGTACTTCGGTATGAGACAAGGATGCGCTTCAACGGCATCAGCGCCTCCATCATTGACCTGCGCCACACGGTGGACCGCCTCGCCAAGGCGATGAGTTAAGCAGCGATAGTCTTTCTAGACATCAACGCGCGCTTTCCAGGAGCATTGCCCGTGGGTGATCCTGTAGTGGATCTCTCACGACCCTCATCAACGTTGACCTCCCCACAGAAGGCATGTGCCGCCACTCCCCCACGTGGCGCAGGCGCCCTCTTCGTTGGGTGCCGTGGGGTTCTGCGGGCGCTGGTGGAGCCGGCCCTGATGGTTTGAATAACCAGTGATGTTCCTAGCACTGTTGCATTTCAACGTAGTGGTTTAAATGACCCGTGATGTTCCTAGCATTGCTGCATTTCAAAGTAGTTGCCGCAATGTGATTAATGCCTCACTCTCTCTCTCTCTCTCTCTCACTCTCTCTCTCTCTTTCTCTCTCTCTCTCTCTCTCTCTCTCCGACTCCTCTACGATTGTTTCCCTCCTCCTCCTCACCCCCCCCATACTGATTGTCTGCTCCTAGCTCGGAGGCCGCCCGAGTCTGCTCCAGCACTCCCCGCGCGCGGTGTGCCACGCTCCTTTGCATGATGGCAGCAGGCTTGTGGTCTAAGTGGTGCCAGGAGCAACGAATCAGCATCAGCAGAAGTGCCCGCCCTTAAGGACTCATGGATGGGTATTGCAGCGGTGTTCGGTGTTCGGCGCTGCGGCCCCCGGGGGGGCTTATTGTTCGCAATCATGCGGGGCGTTCGAGAGAAGGCCTTGCCGTCGACGCGTCTCGCCCTCGGCGGAAGCTGGAGGAAGCAAAACGGGGGCGGGCACACTGAAGGAAGCCAGCGGAAGGTTTGCGGAAGGCGGCGGAAGTAAAAGCGAGGCGTCATCATTTTGTGGCACAGGGTTTCTGGAATTGGCCATTTGTAATGGTCTTCTAGGGAGCTCCCCATGTGTGATTACACGATTGCTCTGGGTAGCGGAGATTTCGGTTCGCCTTCAAGGGTTTCCCCAATTCCCCACAGCCGTGCTTGCAAAATGATTTTCTTATGGGTTGTATCATGCGGTCCTCTGACAGTGCTTCACATGATGTGGTCCTGAACGATAACGACATGCTTCTATACAATAGGGCTCCGTCGTGTGATAAGGCCCATTGATCGCGCACATCGACTGTGCGACATGTTTTGCACATGTCATCACTGATGCGTCTTCTTGGTCAAGAATGTGTTGACGTTGATACGGCTGCAAAAATTCACTAATTGTACGCAGCCATGTGTGTTCGGCGCCTGCGTACTCAACCGTGGCCCAGTTTTGAATATGCTGTGTTCGCATGCATATATATAGTATATATAGTATATGTGTATATATATGTACATACATACATACATACATACATACATACATACATACATACATACATACATACATACATATATATATATATATATATATATATATATATATATATATATATATATATATATATCGGAGTAGGCCAGGGGGGGGGCGGCTGCTGCCTCTGGTCGCCATGGGGGCCCTCCCGAGCCATTTTCTGGCACCTCTCACGAGGATCGGGGCCCCCTCGCCGAAAATTCGGGCCCTCTGTCTCAAGAAGCCTGCGAAGAGGCCACAAGAGGCCCCAAGTGGTCCCCTGAGGGCCCCAAGAGAGCCCCAAGAGGGCCCCTGAGGGCCCCAAGAGGGCCTTCAAGAGGCAAACATCGGCACATCTCCCTTGTAAAACGTACATGTTCGGCATACTCGCTGGCTTCGCCTTCACATTGCCCCAGACGCCCCCGCCGAGCCCCAAGACAGCCCAAGAGAGACCCAAGAGGGCCCCGGACGGCCCAAAAGGGTCGGCCTGTGGGGCTCACCGAACCCCCCGAGACGACCCAAGAGGCCCCGAAGCCGGCCCAGGAGGCCCCCAAGACGGCCTCAGGGAGGCCCAAGAAGGCCCCGTTCGAAATCATGTTCCCGGAAGCCTCTCCGGGAACATGATTTCTGGGTTCCGAGGACGCCCAAGAGGCCCACAAGACAGCCTCAGCGAGGCCCCAGAGGGCCCGAGATGGCTTGAAGATGGCCGAAGAGGGCCCCAAGAGGGCCTTCAAGAGGCAAACATCGGCCCAGTTCCTTCTTAAAACGTACATTTTCAGCATACTTGCTGGCTTCGTCTTCGCAGTGCCCCAGACGCCCCCGATGAGCCCCAAGACAGCCCAAGAGAGACCCAAGAGGGCCCCAGACGGCCCGAAAGGGTCGGCCTGTGGGGCTCACCGAATCCCCCGAGACTGCCCAAGAGGCCCCGAAGCCGGCCCAGGAGGCCCCCAAGACGGCCTCAGGGAGGCCCAAGAGGGCCCCGTTCGAAATCATGTTCCCGGAAGCCTCTCCGGGAACATGATTTCTGGGTTCCGAGGACGCCCAAGAGGCCCACAAGACAGCCTCAGCGAGGCCCCAGAGGGCCCGAGATGGCTTGAAGATGGCCGAAGTGGGCCCCGAGAGGGCCTTCAAGACGCAAACATCGGCCCAGTTCCTTCGTAAGACGTACATTTTCAGCATACTTGCTGGTTTCGTCTTCGCAGTGCCCCACACGCCCCCGATGAGCCCCAAGACAGCCCAAAAGAGACCCAAGAGGGTCCCAGACGGCCCAAAAGGGTCGGCCTGTGGGGCTCACCGAACCCCCCGAGACGGCCCAAGAGGCCCCGAAGCCGGCCCAGGAGGCCCCCAAGACGGCCTCAGGGAGGCCCAAGAGGGCCCCGTTCGAAATCATGTTCCCGGAAGCCTCTCCGGGAACATGATTTCCGGGTTCCGAGGACGCCCAAGAGGCCCACAAGACAGCCTCAGCGAGGCCCCAGAGGGCCCGAGATGGCTTGAAGATGGCCGAAGTGGGCCCCGAGAGGGCCTCCAAGATCGTAAAACGTACATTTTCAGCCCAGAGAGACCCAAGAGGGTCCCAGACGGCCCAAAAGGGTCGGCCTGTGGGGCTCACCGAGCCCCCCGAGACGGCCCAAGAGGCCCCGAAGCCGGCCCAGGAGGCCCCCAAGACGGCCTCAGGGAGGCCCAAGAGTGCCCCGTTCGCGCATGGGGGTGCGTGCACAGTAATGACTTAGCGGGTTTGGGGTGTCGGTCTCATCGATCCATGTTGCCGTTGCTCCGAAGTCATCCTGGCTCGAAGGGTTCTGGCACCGTATTCAGTCGGTGATCGGTGTCGTTCTAGCCACACTGACTATCATCCTGCGAGACGCCGCCGAGCGCCATTGGAGCCGCGGGTCTCTCGGGCCCGAGGTCCCTCCCGTGGGAGAGCCGACGCCTGCTCCTGCTGCGAGGGTGGAAGTCTCCTGTTCTGAGTCCTCTCTGAACATCGGCGTGGTCGAGGACATCATTAGACGGGCACGGTCCGAGAGCTGCGTGTGTGAGCTGACCTGCGACTCGGTGGACCGGGACACCCGCCTCGTCTTCATCGCGACCTTTTCGATCTGTGCTGGGCAGTCCTGCATCCTCGTGCTCTACTGCGGCTGGCGCTGGGCTTGCGCTTGGCGACATGGCGCTGGCGGTGTCTCGTCGAGAACGGCCCGGGGACACAGGAAGGCCACTTTCGGTGCAGGAGTTGTCGAGTAGTTTGCTCCCAGGGCCGATCGTGGCCATCAGGTACCCTGGCGAGGACCTCTGGCATGAGAGAGTTGCGATGGGCCCTGGGCTGCGCGATGATGCGGGGGTCGTCACCCAGCGGTGGATCCTGACACCCGATGGGGATTTCTACGAGGAGGACATCTCCATGGAGGCGGGCGAGGGCGAGAGGGCATTTCATCCTCGACCTGGCTGGCTCCTGCCCTCGCGCCCTGCGCAGCAGGTTCTACAGGTTTGCAGGCGACGCATATCCCTGCGATGACCGCGTCCGCCGCGAGGCCCAGCAGGCCGTAGCTAGGATGCGGGCCGCTGGGCAGGAGCCTCCTGCCTTGCTGCACTTCGTGACCGAGGACGGCGCCCTGGCCCCTCTTTCGGGCGTCGGGCGACGGCTCCGCCGAGGAGGCGCTGCTGGCGTGGGGGGCGGCGGCGCGGGGGCGGTCGTTGTTGGCGACGAGGCCGCCACCCCCGAACTGCCCTCGCCGCCTGCGGCGGCGCCACCTGGCGGTGATGTCAGTCCAGGCGCGGGCGGAGCCGCGGCGCCCTACCTGGCCGCGCTGCCCGAGCGCCCAGCCCTCCGTGAGGGTTTGGCATGGCTGGTGGCCGAGAACGCCGATGGCCACGAGACGCCGGGCATGGAGGTTACCCCTCGCGCTGGCGACGCGATCGCCACGACGACGGACGGCCTGGTCTACAGGCACGGCAGTTTCCTCCGCGTCCAGGCGGCCCCGAACCGCGACTGCGTGGAGTTCGCGAGGGCGCTGAGGGCACGGTACGAGTGGCTCTCCGGCGCTGCTGGGCCCGCCACCCCGGCTGCTCCACGCGCTGCTGAGCAGGCCCCTTCGGACGAGGACGCCCGAACGTTGCGGGGTCGACTACGACGAAGTGGGAGAGAGGCGCAGGAGCTGGAAGAAGGCGGTGCAGGAGAGCAGGGAGGAGCCCATCTCCGCCGTGGAGGTGCAGGGCCCACCAGGCACGCCTCACCCTGCCCGCCACGTCGAACGATACGTCGGTGATCCGCAGCGCTGGCGGCAGGAGTTCTCGCGCAGCAACAACATCTCCAAGACAGATCGCGTCTACCATGAGATGACCACGTCGACGGAAAGTTTCAAGTTGTTCGGCGAGTACGATCAGCTGAACTTGGGCGCGTCTGCGGGCATCGAGAAGATGGCACGGCGCATGCTGGGCGTGATAGACGCCTACTCCATGGGCAGCGGGGCGCCGTCCTGGCGCATGGCCGCCGTGTACGAGGGCGAGGCGAGCTACGGCGGCGCCATTGCCCCCGCCCCGCGGAAGTGGGGAGTGAACAAGCTGAAGGACCAGGCGGAGATCGAGAGCACTCGGACGCGCCAGCTGCGGCCTGCGGCAGAGGGCGCTGACGCGGGAGGCGGCCAGGGCGCCGCCGACGGCGGACGAGGCCGCGGAGGCGGCGGTGATGCAGGTCGGGGCGGGCGGGGCGGCAGAGGCTCCGCGGCCCCGAAGGATGGTCGACCAGGATGACGGGCTGCGGACAGGCCCCCCGCGCCACAGCCAGCTGAAGGTGGGGGATTTTCGGGCGCCTGGTCGCCCTCGCCTCTTTGAGCAGTCTCCGCTGGTTCTTCTTCGGCGCGAAGCTGCACCTGCCGACGGCGGCCGCCGCCGCGGGCGCTACCGCGCTCGCGACCACATACGTCAGTTGGTCGAGGCATCTTCCAATGCACTCAATTGGCTTGCAAAGACTGACCCCCACAGCCCCGCGGCGGTCCGAGGCCGCCCAGATCCCGTCCGCAGTGGATGCGACGCCTCCCGTCGGGAGGCCCCCCCTCAGTTGGACGAGAGCCTGGCACACTCGGAGTCGCTCGCGGAGCTTCAGGTGCGCGAGGGGGCCCGGGAATTCTACAAGCCGCCAGAAGTGGCCTTTCGGGAGTTGCTCTGTGAGAAGGCGTCTGGCTACAGGATGGACGCTTCTTCGACTACGCTCGCGCCGTACCAGCGCGGTCGGGTCTTTTTGCCCGAGAAGAGGACCAGCGTCCCGAATGTCCCGGACTTAGTTGGGGACCGTGGCCGATACTTTCTGGAGGGCGCAGGAGAGCGCATGCTGGATCCGACCTTCAGCGACAGTTTTGATGAAGACGCTGAGCGTTGCTATGTTGACCAA